TGGATGAGGAAATTACAAACTTTATTACCTAAAACACTCGGGGTGGAAACAGAGCTGGAGAGAAGAATAAAGCAGAAAAGAAATACTTGGTTTGGCAAGCACAAATACCAAGAGATGCAACGACTAATGTAGCAAAGATGTGTGCCAACTGGCAAACAAAACTTAGTATAGGCCGTGCCAAACAAAGTGTCAACTCAGGAGCTTGGATTCGAGGTTTAGAAAACAATAAAAGGAAACAAGAACCAAACAGAAAATGATAAATTCTATTTTTTAAAGAATTGTTCCTACAGCAAGAATTCATTTTTCACAAGCACCACTATAGACACGTTGCATCTTACATCTGGATATTTTGCGCATGCGTACTATACTGGGGGGCAAAAAAAACACTATTATTTGACACGCCATTCATAACCACAGTAGAACAATTCCATTAACTGAATGTAACGTGGAGATATAGGTATTATTAATTTAGTGCAATGAATTCAAAAGTGTTGAAGAACTACTCAAAACCTCTTGTATTCTTTTTTCTTTCTCTCTGTGTCAGTTACGCTACACGCAGACTTATTGCTATAGCAACTGACAACAAACCTGCTAATATGTTAGGACCAACACCAAAAAGCAGGTAAATATGTCCCACACAAAGAACAATACACTTGGTTCACTAAAGTGCAATATTGTTAGACTTAATGTTTATTTTGCGATTATTAATGAGGGATTGCTGTGGTAGATTAGCTACCGCTGCTATTAGCTAAGCTAACACAGTGGTGGCTGATTAGTTAACTTAAACCCCTGCCCTACTGATGATCTGTCAGAAACTTGGTGCTTAGGTCGCCTTTTTTAAAATTTTCTAACTGAACAGAAACACACCAAATTCTGCAGCACATCCACATGTTACATTTTCCAAAGTCAAACTAGCATAATTGACCTACGTTCCCTCGCTGCTTTGTTCTTTAATTAAAACTTTTTATGTAGTTGCCATAGTAGAAAAGCACTGTGAACCTTTTTCTCTTACATCACAGGCGTACATTTAAGATTTAGCGAGTTATGTTGACATCTTGACAGCTAAAACCAATGCTAGTCATCGTCGGTGAGGAACTTCTTGCCCTCCGTCATGTAGATGGGGGAAGGAGGGAGGCAGGATTTGCACGTATGAAGTGACAATGCAACATTTCTATATAGTAAAACCTATTTAAAAAAAAGCAGATTATTTTACTAAATCACTTTAATGCACAACCCACTTATGTTCAGAGTGGCAGAAACAGATGATAACTATGATAACAGAGTCATATTATCATAGTAACTCATCAAACTCCTGCTGTGCTCAGCAAAGCATCAGAACAGCAAAGATAAGGCTGTGCTGCCTCCAATTAAACTTTATCTGTTTGCTGTCAGCGTCCTCTCATTATGTGACAAAATCTGAATATAAACAGAGACATGAAATCATGCCAGAGGTTAGTGCAGTGTAAGTTTCATCTCTGTGAGAGCGTTGGCAGCATTTTTTATGGCCAGCTTAACATTTGAATAGCCTCCTCTAATTTTGCTCCAGTTTACAGAGCGGCAGAGCAGTTATGTTGCTACTTTTTTATATTGTTTGATAATGATTCTATGGGCTTTATTTTTAATCGAACATGATAGCAATTTGTGTTCTAATATTTTAACTACTGTGGTACGTTCAGATGAGAACTTTGTTGATTGAGGCAAATGATTCCTTTTTGAATTCAGGCTCTGCTTGACAATGAATTAAACTAACTAGGACCAGATTTTAGAGCACTAAGCCTATTTTTAAATTGTTAATTACAAAGTCGAATTTCCTTTAATTCATCTTTTATGCATATAGAGCTTTTTTTTTAACAACTGAAGGAAACATAGATATTTGACTGTGCCATAACATGGTCCAACATTCCTGGAAAACACACAATCCTGCCCCTTTCAGTAAAACGCAGCTCATTGTGGAACTGAATGTTTATTTCTGTTGCTCCAGTGATTTAGTAAATCCAAAAGCAAAGTGATTGCATAGCAGCAGGAGTGTTAATGATCTGAGCTGTCCACTGCAGGCGTGCATTTGGTTCAAACAGCACCAGCTTGCTTACATGACTCACCTGTGCAACAGCAAAGCAACAAGGCCGCCCGCTCTGTTTGAAGTCAAAGCAGAGTAAAGGCAACGATGCGCTCTCCAAATTTCAGACGACTGCAGGAAGCTTTTGATTCCAAGCAGCTCCACGTGTGACGGATGTAATTAGAATGTCTGCATAGCGGATTCATTCGTGCTGTTGGTGGGCTCCGGACTTTAATTATAGACCTGTTTGGCTCACAGCGGTGTTTGACTGACAAACTTGGGTTAAAATGCATCCAAAAATATTATATCTCTGATAAACGATGCTCCATTCCAAGAAGATAATACACTGCACTTAGCCTTTGGAGTGCCTACTTTTAATGCCTGTTAATCAAAACATATTACTGGTAACAAAAAATAAATAAATAAATAAATAAAAAACATCATGCAGCATTGTTGAACTGTTTTGATTATCAAATTTCTCTCCCTTTAATAAACAATGCATTCATAATTTCCTTATTTTCTTCTGAAGAAAGTGCAGAAGCAATCAGCTACCTGAAAGTAACAGGGTTTTTACTGAAATTTTACAGTGAGGCTCACTGATAATGATGTAACAGGTCAGTCATAAGTTATTCATGCTCCCCATTGTCTGTCTGATTAGAAGCATAGTTATGAATATGTGAAATGATTGCTCTGGCCCATTTGGGACTGATTTGATGAGAATTCTTACAGTCTGTTATATGCCAGATACATTTTCCTTCTATTTATTTATTTATTTTTTAAACTCTGGTGTTGGTTTCTCTCCAGGGTGGATAGTGTTTGATCCTTTACGGAGAGAGAGAAAAAGTTATTTTCTTCAGAGTGAAAATTAAAATTCATATTTGTAAAACAGTTGTTATTTTTAACTGAAACAGCAGTCTGTCTAAGAGCCAGACAGTGGAAATGCCATCATCCCGCAAGTCTTTATCCACCGTGTTAAGTCTGCATCACAGAAACGATCAGATTTATGATTTTTAGTAACCCAAGGATGCTGACACTCATGAAAAATCTGATAAAATATGTTGTAAAACGTGAAAAGTTCAGTGGGTATGGAGGCTTTAGCCAGATGGTTCAATTCCAAACACAGAACTGTAGCTCTTTGTCCTCAATGTCAAATATTTTACACTTCACATTCATGGCCCTTGAACTTTTCCACATTTTGTCCCATTACAACCACAAACAGAAATATTTTTGTTGGAATTTAATGTGACAGAGTAACAAAAAGCAGTATACAGTTGTGAAGTTTAAGTCACTAGCAGGCGACTTCTGAAAGCAATCGGTTGCACTCAGAGATAAAAGGGGGCTGGATATTTTTGCACACAGCAATTTTCACAGTTTTTCATTTGCAAAAAATGTTTTGAATCATGTATAATTTTCTTTTCACTTTACAACGGTATATCACTTTGTGTCGGTCTCTCACATTAAAATCCAGTGGAATTTGTTGTTTGCGGTTGTAATGTGACAAAATACGTAAGTTTGCAAGTCACTGCATGTTGCATATATATATATTTCATATATACATTCTCACAGACTGCACTCTAATTCGAAAGCTGAGGGATTTTCTGTGTGAAAACATTCGTTGAGTCGGTCTTCTATGAGCCATGTGTTGGTGCAGATAACATTGTCTTACGGTGAGTAAAGGTTGTGTCCCAGGTGAGGGAGGCAGACGGATTCTCCGGCTTCTGGAAGACATTGTTTGGCTTTCAAGCAGGCGGTGACGTTCGGGCCTTTGAACATTTTTCATGACAATTTAGAGAGCGTGTTGTGTCCACAGTGGGTTTCATGACTGGAAAGTATAGCTTGGATTGTGAGAGCACAAATGAAAATTGGGTCATTCCCTGACCACCTAAAAGTGCTTCATATTTTAACTCGGCATAACAACAAACTAATGTTTTTTATTAGAATTGTATGTGGAGCAACACAAACTAGGGCATAATTCTAAAGCAGAAAATAATACTTTTAAAACACAATCTGACAAATGTGATGTCTGTTTCTGTTGCATGCAGGCAGCAACATACGACTTGTACTTTTGAATCAGTGTACAAATACATGTTCTGTTGATCTGTCAGGTTTGTTAGATAATATTGTGGGGGAAAAAACACCTTTTAACCACATTTGGACATCGGCAAATTTCTTTATGATGTTGTCTTTTTAGGTTGCACAGTTTTATGTTGTTTAGCCAGAGGGCAACTTGCTCTTTATTACATTACATTGCTGAAAGTATTTGCTGCCTTCACACACACAAATGAACTTAGTGGCATCCCATTATTAATCAGCGGAGTTTGATTTGAGGATCCACTCTCAGTTGTAGTAGCTTCAGCTCTCCTGGTGATGGCTTTCCACATGTTCATGGAAATATTTGGTTGTTCATCCAGAAGAGCATTTGTGAGGTCAGACATTGGTGTTGGATTAGATGAACTAGTTGGGTTTAGGTGAAAACTTTGTGTTGACTAATCAAGGCCTTCCCCATCAAACACACTTTACATGTTTTTACGGATCTGGCTTTGTGACGTGCAGCTGCGTCAGAACTGGAATGGGGCCCCCCTGAACTGTTCCCATGAAGTTGAGAGTGTTACATTGTCCGAAATAAGTTTGTCTTAGCAGCGAGGAAATTTCTCAACTTATTGCACGGGTCTCCTTCCGTCACAGGACCAGAAGTAAACCCACCGAGTTCTTAAGAACGACCCATTGTTTCACAAATGTTTGTAGAAATGGCCTACATGGCTATAGTGGATGAAATTTGGCCATGGTGGCGACTGGAAGTCACATTATGTTGGTGTGACTGCAAATGGGCGAAACATCAAATAAACCTGCTCCTCTAAGCAAAAGATTGCCAAATAAGTCACTTCTGTAAATGGACAAGTGTTACAATGCCAACAGCCATTGTAATTTGTCTTTGCTTCCGCAGGTACATGGCCATCATCCACCCTCTGCAGCAGCGCATGTCATCCACGGAGACCAAGGTGGTGGTTGGTGTGATCTGGGTTCTGGCTCTGCTCCTGGCCTTTCCCCAGTACTACTACTCCACCACGTACCAGCTGCCCGGCCGCGTGGTGTGCTACATCGAGTGGCCCGATTATACCACGTTCGACTTCCAAAAGATGTGAGTTCCTCCGCGTGGGAGTTTTTCTGACACTCAAGAGAGCATTAATAACTTTTCAGCTGACAGCCCGCGCGGGAGCGGCTTGTTTGTATTCAGGGACAGGGAGTGTGTTGCGCTTTGTGCTTGATAAACGGAGGCATCTCGCAGCTGTTTTACGTTTTTCCCCACAGTGAAAAAGGAAAAAGCAATCAGTTTGAACCGGACAAAGAAGTAGAAACTGACTGAGGCTACACCATTTATTTTAATTGCAATTCTCCTTCTGCAGCTTTTAAGGTGCTGAACGTTTCCTGAGAGAAGTTCTTTTACGGGAGCAAAAAGTCAGGAACTCAGAAGACAGGAACAAAGAAATTTACAGATTAAATGACTAGTGATAGGAAAAATTAAGCACATCCTTTGAATGAGAGAAAAATCTAAGACTCATTTAAGCTATTCTTTTTTTGATCCTTGGGTAGTCAGCGGGGTAAAAATAACAGCTTTTCATGTCAGCACTTAAAACGATGAGCCCCACCTTGCTCAGCTTTTGATTCTTATTTTAGCTCATAACACTTTTCTAAGTTAGCAATCTGAAATATTAATAATTCTGACAGCTTCCCATTTAAACATGATTGTCTGAGAAGCTTAGTGTAAACAGAAATTTGTACGGCTCCCTTCAGCTGTTTATCACAGAGCGGCAGATTGATTCAGTTTGTTTTTGAAGGAACGGCTCGTGTTTATTGGTGCTATTGATTCCAAGTTCTCAAAAAGCCAGCTGTCTGCCTTTGCAATTCTGCTTTAATTGTGTGAATGAGAAAGAGGCCTTTCAATCATCCCTTTTAGGAGCCATACGCAGGCCTGATTTTTATATTTGCCGCTCTAAATTGCAAGGGATTTCGACAGAACTGCCAAGGGGCTAGCTGCTCAGAATGCTAAATTGTAAACTCCAACCAGAGTTCAGCGTACTCCTCAGGCATGCTTTGTGTTTTTCTGATGAAAGTCATGCAGGGTCAAACTGCCGACTCTACTGCAGCTCATTTCCTCTGTCGGTTCGTAGCAAAACGCTTGTTGATTTAGTTGGAAATGTTTATTTTTCTTACTCCGTGCCGACTTTAATTGGATAAATCCTGCTGTGGAGATCTTATTAAACATAAGCAACAAGACCATGGACGTTTTCTTAGTGCCATTTCAGTAATGTACGTACAAAAACAGGAGCTGATATTCATGATAAAATAATGCATGATTTGATATATTTTGTCCCTAAAACAAATATGATAAAATATTTGTTTGAAAATAACTGAAAGATTTTGGACTGAGAAAAAAAAGAAAAGAAAAAGAAGCAAAGGTCAGAGAAATCTGTGCCAGATTTTTTCCACAACACTTAAAGGAAACAGTTTCTCTGTCAGGTTTTCATTTATCTGCCAGATTTAATTTAGGGTTGAGAAAGACGGTTCAACAAACGCAAAGAATGTTTCACAAGCTCTAAGCGACCTTGGTCAGACTGCAGAGCTGGAGGCGACGAGTCGTCTCTCCTCCAAGTGTAATGTTTCTCTTGGATGCTAAAATAAACCCAAAGCATCATACCAGCCATTTAACAATGACAGAGATCATTCAGACAGTTTATTCATGCATTTCTTCAATAGGATAAAGTGCAGGATAACTTTGTCTCCACCGAGTCAATGATAAAAAATTTCACAGAGCCATGGCAGACAGACTATAGAATCTTCCATAGGAAAAAAAAACAGTTTGTCTCTGTTGAGATATTGAGCTTGCTCTTTACTCTAGGCTCGGTAGTGTCTTCTGTTTGTCTCTTTGAAATCCCAGACTGGCGCACACTTGAAAGCAGACACACAGGTGCACCTCCACCAAAAGCAGGAGGAGTAGCAGCAGAGAAACGCCGCTACGCTGACGCACATGCAGGCCCACAGACAGTGACGGCGCTCCCCCGCCGACCTCTGACGTCTTCATCATCTTCCGCGTCTGTCGCGTTCCTCCGTGGAAACACGGCTTGTTAGAAAAGCCGCCTCACCATTCTGTGAAGTGGCGGCAGCGACTCTTATTTCTCATTTTAATGAAAGCGTAATTGCGGCCGCTTCAGAGGTGAGTGAAAACATAAGGCAGTCGTTCAAACTCAGATGCCGGAGCTGTAAATGGCACGTCTGATATGAGCTGACCCCGGGTCAGGTCCCACCTGTTGCCCCATCGCAGGCGTTGTCTTGCTGCTGCCACCGCCGTCGGCGTCTACAGCCATCCTGGGGGTCTGTGTGCAGGCGGTGGGAGCTGGTAAGCCGGCTGTGTCTCAGAGGAGGGGTATTAATAGATGTTGTTTGTGAACGCATGCTAGCGCGGACAACTGCTCAGCCCTGAACCACCTCTGAAATGTTTTCACATAAAGACACATGAAGACACAGTAATCCAGAAAGCTACTCTATATTATTTTTACATGATGTGTGCCTGTTTCCCTTTTAGGCAAAGACGATGTGACAATAATTTATTTTTTTTTTATTTTGTTTTACTCTGGTTATTTTGTTATTTATAACAATTATAATTGCAAGCAAGTTTATAAGTTGCTAAATTTTAGCCTGACTCACAGTTCCAGTGCTTTAATCCCAAAATAACTTAAAGGGGCAGTATTATATTTACCAGCCACAGAGAATCATTTTATAGCATAATGTGTTACTTATCTTACCATTAATTGTTATAAAAATGCTGTATACGTCAAATATGACTTAAAGAAATTTGACTTTGAAATGTAATCCCCTGAAATTAGGCCTCTCTCTCTTTAAAAACTCCTGCTCTTTCTGACATTCTGCCTTCAGGAAATCATCACAGCATGTCAAAGCTAGCATGGAAAATTCTTAACCTCTGATATATTTTGTAAATATGCAAACCCTTTATTTGAAGAAAAAGTGCACATTTTTAGTTTAACAATAATTCCTACAATTTTGTCGCGTCCTCCTCAACCCAAAATCATGTGAGTGTGATTTTCTGCAGCTGCCCGGCTAAGTCCTCCCCACTGCTGTACCGCATGGGTTTGAAAAAGGTGGAATACCTTTTTTATTTCCTTTCAGTAATAAAAAAGGTCTGTACAAGGTCATATAGGAACAAATTAGCTGTCAACCTTAAAACCAAAGAGATAAACACCAGGAGGCTTATAGACACTATCTGTGCCATAGTCTTTAAGTAGCCAGTTCTGTAAATATATAGAATATACAGGACTGGCTATAGCAGATACAGCCATGTTTCTGCTGCAGTGTTACGTTCCCTGCTTAGCTGGAGAGGGAGATGTGGGTCAAGTGTTCTTGAAACAGTGTCAGGTGAGACTTTACGGCACAGCTGTGACTTTGTTGTAACAAGCCCGTTTGTCTTCGTCAGCCGCTGTGTGCCCAGGCATCGGGACACGCGCCAATGATGGAGGAGCTGTTGTCCAGTTTACACAAGCAGGGGCTAAACACAATGACTCACTTCACTGCTGATCTCCTGTGAGAGCGTCTGATGATTGAACCCTAGAAGAAGCGGAGCCTACTTCTACCGCCTGGTAACCCAGTGACCCCGTAGCCCCGTGGGAATGACAAAATCAGGTCACGTTCAAAAATGTGCTTCATGAGAAAAAAATACAAAGACAGATAATGAAGATATACATAGGAAGAAATGGGCCCAAAAGGTGTTCTGACCGAAAACACGTTTAAAACACTAACTCAGTGTAAAAAATGCACTGAGCCGCCCGGTTCTGGGGGAAGTTCCTAAACTAGCCTGTGGGTCATATGAACCTGCCAAAGTCTCAAAAAACAACAGAGATGCAAGGTTTCCTGTTATTTCAGGTATTATTTTGGCTGTCATTTGTAGTGACGGGCCAGTACCAGACTTATATCACCATGGTAACCTCAGGTAAAAATACTGTGTTGTAACAGCATAGCTTTTGGAAAGCTGTACAATGTAAGTTCTCCCCAAGACACAATTTTACATGAAATGGAAGTCAGTTTTAAAAGTTCTTTATTATTGTGTTTTGGTACAGCTCTTTATGCTCCCAGACAAATGTTATTAAAAAAAAACAACAAAAAAAAACGACCATTTGTGAGATTACTTTAAATGTAACATCGTTTTGGGCGAAAATGTACTTAGTACTTATTCACACTTAAAGTAAAATGTTATGAAGTGTCAAAATACAGCTGATTTTTGTCTCACTTTCACGTGACATATAGCTTTAGTGTGCATATGTATTTGTCGCCATGGCGTAAATTTTAGGCTGCTGTCTTTGTACCGACTTTGATTACACATTTAAATTCACATTTCCCAGCCGCTGGCTTCTGCTTTTTAAGCATGATCAAGGAAGGAAAACATTAGCAGCGTCCAAAATTAAAGAACCTGATAAATCAAAGTTACGGTGCAAAATGCGTCTACGTGTCTGTGACCTCTGCTGAGGAAAATTATTTTGATTCTGCTTGTATGACAACAAAGTGAAAAAGTACAGCATCTACTCCCCAAAGCGTCGTTTATCTTTGGCTGCTGAGTGCCTGCTTGGGCCCTCTGGGGAGCCTGGCTCTGCCTGCAGGTCTCTCTGCTTTCACAGTCATACTTCACCTCCAGATGGCTCATTGTGAATGATGAAACTTGTGTCACCATTCCATTTAAATGCATTCCGTGATTTGATTTGATTTTAAGCCAGTTGAACGTTTGAAAAAGTACTTTTTTAAGTGTCGGGGGACGCTTTTCATAGGGAAACACATTCACCAAGACGTCTCAGAGGTAGAGGAACAACACACAGGTAGCCAATAACACACTGGCGTGTAAAAATAGATAAACACACACACCGGTTTTAACACCATAATTTAACAATTTACTACTAGATTTTTTATATATATAAAATGAGCATGAGAAATTATTAATTCTGTTTCCAATACACAATTTTTTTTTTCAAATTCAAAAATACTTTATTCATCTTAAAATATTTGGGATGAATAAAGGTCAGTGTTGTTGTAACTGATATTATCTAAAGCTCCAAAGAGTCGTTGTAGATCCTGATGGCT